CTGTATAAAAAGTTTCAGCTCCTTAACTCATGTGGTTCCCGAGATCGCTTTTCCGCCGAAAAAACTTGAATATTTTTTAAGGCTTCCGTTCGCGGCACCCAGGCGTCCCAGGGGGGATAGAATTAAAACGGGAGGGTCGTGCATGGTATGGATTTTGAACAAAATTTCAAGCCCTCCCCGCCGCTCCTCTCGCCGCCCCTCTCCCCTTCCCTTTAGCTCCCGTACTTTGGCTTTTCATTGTAGGACAAAAATCCAGAATGCTGTGATATGTGGAAGTTTCAAAATCAGTGAATTTTTTTAGAGTTGAAGCTGCTTCTCCAAGAGGCCACCTTCTTTTCGCGCATCGCTGTGTAGAATTTTCTTTTTAGGCAAAATTGATCTTTTTTTGCGAATTTCCGGTTTTTCTCTTGAAATTCATGTAGATTGGGGAGAGCAATGGACACAGAAAGAAAAAAAAGAGTCACATACCGAGAATACCATGCTCCAGTGAGACTCATGCTTTATTCAGACCTCAAAAATGAGGGATTTTTTTGAATATTTTTGAAAAATTTGGACCCGGAACCCTCCTTCTTCGATGACTTTTATTAGCGGTTAGTGCCAAACGCGCCAAGATCTCCCGAATAATTGGTATGAATATGCCATATTGTTAATGATTTTACTGGAATGCTTCCACATAACGGGCACAGCCATAGCAGGGGCTCTGCCGAGTAATGTTACAAAAATATATAAGCGCTTTTTCCCATGAAATGTTATCGCCGCTTACCACTGATAACGAATTTACTAGTTTTTTTTTTGTTCATTTTAATGTTTCGTTTTGAATTTTTCTTTTTTCTTGAGAAGTTGTTGCTGCTGCGTCGATCTCTTCCGAAAATATTTGTTTCCAAATGCAATATGCTGATGGATTTTGGCGGTGGCCTTTTTTTGATTTTAGTTAAAATTTCTGAAATTCCCATCGTTGTTGTTCTTCGCTGCTTGCATACCTAAGCTAAACTGTGAAGGTTGAACTCTCTCCGTATTCATTTTTTGGGAAAAATGGAGCACAGTCAGGAGTAGACCAATTTACAGCAATTGCTAGCAGTAAGAGATTTGGATGGCTCCTTTTTTGACGGTTGTTTAGAAGCAAGCTGATGGCGGGTTTGACTCCCTGGCATGCGCGTAAGAGTTCGATAGCTTCCTTCTTCGACGACTGCTTAGAAGCAAGCTGATGGCGATTTTGACTTCCTGGCACGTGGCAGTACCAGTTTTGTCATTGAAATTACTGGACGAATCGTAGAGGGACTGATTATCTCTTTCGGATGATAAGTAACGGCCATTCGAAGGCAGATTCAGAAGTGGACAGTTAAAATGGAGCGACCGAAGGGGGTTAAATTGATAAAAAATTTTTTTGCTGCCGTTGTTAGGCTGAACAGTACATTCGACATAAAACACGAGGGCAACGCATCTTGCCAGCAGTCCATACCTCCTAGCCTCGAAAATCATTCGTTCTATGGATTTTTCACAGGTGAACATAGAATATTAAATAGCATTGCAGCAGACGTTTCCTTCAACACACATCTTCCTGTTGCTGCGGATTTTTCCACGCAGATCCCGACTTTTCTGAAAAAAAAAATAAAAAAAAAATCGTTATTGGATAGGCCTCGACACAATATGCAATCGAAAACAGCCCACAGACAATTTGGAAGTGCAATGTTTGGACTACCGCTTTATCTCCGGCTGGGGATGAAAGTCCTTCCCGGTTTTCTGCCGATGAAAAATTTTCTGCCGTATATTTCATTTGCAACGATAGAAATGGTCCCTCATTTCTCAGCGACGAAATTTTTTTTTTTAAACTTATTAAAGCGCCTCTCAGAGGTAATGGTTTCGAGATTTCAAATGAAGGATAATCCAGCATAAAGGAAGCGAACGGATGCGGTTGGGGTCCATGTATCTCATCACGGCGTCTCCGCCAGGCCATGCCAGCTGAGCGTTTTATTAGTTACAATTCAACCATGCTGAATTTCCTTCGGTTAGCACGATCCACTGCTTTACAAGGTATGCTTCGGTCTACTTACGGCCCCAAAATACCACTTCACAGCTTCGACCTTTTCATCAACCTTGCTCAGAACGACCAATTTTGGCCGGGCTTCTACAACCTTTTTATTCTATACCTTGCAACGTCTTACACGCCAGATCATCGCTCTGTGATTATCTGCCAAGGACGACGGGTTCCTGTCCTCGAGCGTATAGTGCCATCCAAAGAGAATTCGCTCCCTTTCACACTGGCTCCTCAGTTGCCGGGATGCCTTTGATGTGGCCCAGATGG